CTTCCAATCCTCGCAGTTCATCATCCCTAATCAAGTACAACAGCTATTCATGTTAGGTGGAACACAGGCCTTGTTCGGGCATTAATCTCCATGGACACAAAGCCTAATGAATCTTCCAGAATATCAAGATCTGTAGTTGAATATGAAGATGACCAGTTGCTTGACGGAGCAGACGAGAGTGTTGGTTCAGACTGGGTCCTGCTCAGTCCACCTGAGGAATCAACAATATCTTAATATTATAAAAATTTACACTTTTAGTTTTAACCCATTCTAAGCTTTGTGTACAAAACAGTCAGTAAGGGGATACAGCCCTTTAAATGTAAGCTTTAATTCTCTTTTAGGCATCTTTTCTTAAAATATAGTGTAGGTCACAGCCAAAAGCATAGAATGGGATAAATGTGTTACTAATTTTAAATTCAAGCACCTGATTTTACATGAAACCTGATGCATGGCTCAGTATATGCATGGGTTAAATATTAAAATGTAATCATCTAATCTTTCAGTGACCTTCTCTTATATCTAAGAATAGCTTATTACTATATAAATATCAACTGGTACTTTCAAACAGTACACCAACCTTCTTTGTACACATCATTCTCACTCTCTTCTTCCTCATCTATCTGCTGCAAAGCTATACGAGCTTCCTCAACACCTCTCTCAGCTGCCAGAGCAAGTAATCTCCTTGCCCGAGGTAAATTAGCAGAACCACCTTGGCCCTGGCTGACCAAAATGGCCAAGTTAAAGGTTGCTCCTCCATGACCTTTCCTGCTTGCTGCCTCATACAGGTTGCGGGCCTGTTGGAGATAATGCAAGGATTCTTTCTTTCACTGCCACTACTGCTTAATCACTTGTAACAACTTCCTATTAATGAGGGGAAGCGACAATGTAAGGAATTCATATAAGAATTAGTTTGTTCTGATATTTAATATGATCTTCCCTAGGGTCACAAATTCCAATACACTGATGGCATACTTCGACTCCAATTCTTATTTGGTCAAGGTGAAGATGCACTTGAGAGGCCAGTGATAACTGACCATATACAACAAGTTAAAATAACATTGTCACTTTTTATATGATTTCATTACCAACCTATTGATTAATTAATGATCATCATCTCTATTCTCTCAATTTGTCAACCATCATCCCCAATTCATCAAGTAGATCTTTGTCTTAATAAAAAATAAAATGAAGTACAGTATAGTTTCTTCCCTTTGTTACAATGCAGTAACTGAAATGACCAGGTGAAAAAGTAAAAGTTATTGGCAATGGAAACATTCTATACAGTTTGATAAATACTAATATCTACAACTTGTCAACTACCAATCTTCCCACTTTAAAATAAATGAATACAGCCAATTCCCCACCTTCTTCATGTCCTGCTTAACACCTCGGCCAAAGTGATGACAGAGGGCCAGGTTGAATGTCGAATCTGGGTCACCAAGCATTGTCCCTACTTGGAAATACACAAGGGCTGCTCCTGGGCTGGAACTCTCATTGCTACGAGCAAAATCCTCTTCTATCGCACTTCTGAGCTCCCCCTGAAGTATTCTGATGTCTTGAATACCTTCATCCAAAATCTGACAAAAAACATGAAGCTTGTAATAACTGTCAATATTCATATGGATTAGACATTTTATACAGCAAAAATCTTTGCTACATCTGCCAATCCCTCATTATGATGAACTACAACAGGAAAACTGTTTCAAAAGTAACTCCTAGGTAATGAAGTAAATATTCTTTCATGTCCAGCTTATAACTGTAAGTGATAATGTAATAACACACACACAGGAAACAAAAATAATGACATAATATAAAACTTGGAACTTAAATATCATTTGCATTCTGTGAAGAGTACAAAAAGTATAATTATTCATTACCTTTTTCAAGTCATCATCAAAATCTTCATTATTATCCTGTTCTTTCTCCTGCTGAATGCTTGGCCTGTTTGTCCCTGAGCTGTGACCACTATCATTGCTGAAATTATCTTGAGTGACATTGCTATCTTCATAGTACGATTTCCTTCCAACCTCCTTAACATCAAAAACTTTTACAGGTTCTTCTATTGGTAGTTCATTCTCAAGCTTGTAAGAAGCATCAGATCCAGTTATACTTTCTTGAGCATCAAAAGCATGTTCTTCAATGTACACTTTTGACTCTGCCTCTACAGGGTCTGGCTTGTGCAACACATCCACAGAAGATAATGTTTTGGTTTCCTCTAAATCTTCAAGAATGTTGTCATGAAAGGCCTGATGGTCATTCTTTTGGTTTCCTTCATCTCTAACATTCCTCTTTAATGCAAAACTAAAATCTTTTTGAACATCCGCTAGATTCCAAAGAGCACTGAAAAGTGATTTTGACAGTTCTTGAGCAGATGAGATATCAATGTCGGGGTGAATAATCGGGTGCCTATGTTGGTAATCTGAATCTAGAGAGCTAATAAAGGGATACTGATGCCCATTCTGGAACAACCATAGGTTTATATGGTTTTGGGCAAAGCTATTATTCCAGGATTGGCTGCTTTCAAAATTTTTCCAATTATTTTCTTTCTGATAATCATTATGACATTTATTTTTCTCACTGTACCACTTATGGATGGATTTCCTTGCCTCTCTCTCACGTTGTAGATCACCCCATCCTTGATACAGTGAGTAAGTCAAGGCCACAACTGAACCCTGAAAACACATTTCAGACTGTGAGAAGAAAATATGTTAACAAAAATGTTCACAATATATTATATATTGTTACAAAATATTTAATACATGACCTAGTTTCTCCCTTCATTATAGGACTAAATAAATATAAATAAATCAATCAAGCTTATACAATGTTTCAGGAGAACTTCACTTACCCATCCCAACCCTTGGAGTATGGAATGCGTCCACAAAAACCTTTCCCTGCTCTTCCATCGGCAGGACCTTCCCCACTTGCTCTGTTTTTCCTTAAAATCCACATTGCAGAAGACCCAGTCACCATGGTCTCTCTTTTCCTGTAATGTTGGAAGACTTTTCCAGGTTTCTAGCTTAGCAGATGACTCCGAACAGCGTCTATAGTACTTTGCCGCATCATCTCCTCTGTGGTCAAGATGTTGAGTCTTTTGAGATGTGTGGCAGGGACGTCTTGTGGACAGAAATTGGCACTGAAAATCAAACCGCTTTCTGGATTTGTCATCTGGACCCTCTTGAGAACAACAATGAGTGGGACGGACCGATCTAAAACCTGCAAGAGATGAGGAAGAGATCTGGTAAGGATTTGTTAGGCATTTTATGTTGTATTTACATTGCCACAGTTCAAGAGACAGTCATTAATAATAGAATAAGACAATGGCATCTCTAATGTTGTTTGAAAAAAAAAAAAAAAAAAAAAAAAAAAAAAAAATTCAAAATATACACTCGGCATAAAAAATAAAACAAAACCCTAAAAAAAGAGAATAAGGCTGTAGGTCCTCTAAAGCAGTGGTTCTCAAGGTGGGGGACCTGACACTCAGAGGGGATACAAAATAATTTTGAGGGGTCACATGGTCCTGCAAACCCTTCTCCTTCTCTTCCTCCCACTACCCATCATAATACATCTAATCCTTGTCAGCAGTGGTTGACTTGCCCCATGATCGATAATGCATATGAATGTATGCATGCTTCCTTATGTCTGCATGCAGGGGTGGGTCACAAGTCTAAGTTATTTTGTTGAGAGAGAGGAGAGAGAGAGAGGGGAGGGGAAAGATATTTAGATTTAGTGGGGTGAGGTAGTGATGTGAGGTGAGGTGAGGTGAGTGAGGTGAGTGTGAGTAAGATGAGACAAGATGAGATAAAGGGAGGGAGGGGAGAGAGGAGGAGAGAAAGGAAAGGAAAGGGAGAGAGGAGAGGAGAGGAGGAGAGAGAGGAGAGGAGAGGAGAGGAGAGGAGAGGAGAGAAGGAGAGGAGAGGAGAGGAGAGGAAAGAGGGAGAGGGAGAGAGAGGAGAGGAGAGGAGAGGAGAGAGGAGAGGAGATGAGATGAGAGAGATGAGATATGGGGAGGAGGGGAGGAGGGGAGAGAGGAGGAGAGAGAGGAGAGGAAAGGGGGGAGGGAGAGAGGAGGAGAGGAGAGGAGAGGAGAGGAGAGGAGAGGAGAGAGAGGGAGAGGAGAGGAGAGGGAGAGGAGAGGAGAGGAGAGGAGAGGAGAGGAGAGGAGAGGAGAGGAGAGGAAGAGAGGAGAGGAGAGAGAGGAGAGGAGAGGAGAGGAAGGAGAGGAGAGGAGAGGAGAGGAGAGGAGAGGATAAGGAGAGGAGAGGAGAGGAGAGAGGAGAGGAGAGGAGAGAGGAGAGGAGGGTAAAGGGGAGGAGGAGGAGAGGAGAGGAGGGAGAGGAGAGGAGAGGAAGGGAGAGGAGAGGAGAGGAGAGGAAGGAGAGGAGAGAGGAGAGGAGAGGAAGGAAGGGAGAAGGAGAAGGAGAAGGAGAGGAGAGGAGAGGAGATGGGAGAGGAGATGGAGAGGAGAGAACATGACAGGGAGAGATATGGAGACAGACAGAGACAGACAGACATACAGAGACTGAATGGGTTCCTAATTAAAAAACAGAGAAGCAAGTAGAGAAAAAGCATTACTGAAAGTCATTCAACTGAGTGCCGCTAACCTCTGTCCTCCACTAATGAGGGTAATAAAATTTTGTTTAGCATGACTGCAACATGAGCTGTAAACCCTGGCAACCTCATAAACCTTTCTCTTAATCTTTACATTTTTTTCTCTCTTTCCCTTAATCAATTATAACCACATACTTAGATCAAAGAAAGGACAATAAAAAAAAAATTGCATCTCAATTAGTACTCATGTCTATATGATATGTCCATTCTAAAAAGATTGAGATCATTATTCTTACTAATATATTTCATGGTAAAGTGATTCTTCCTTATAGCTTTTTGTCACCTGTAATTCAGTTTCAGGGTAACCGAGCAAACCGCATTTATATTCATATTACCCAAAGCAATTTATACCTTCACTACAAACTTATTGACCCAAGAATCCATTAACT